GAAGGGCGAGAAGACGACGAAGAAGGGGAGGGGTGGCGGCGGAGGCGCTGGCCCGTCGCAGGAGCCCGAGGATGAGGCGGCAGAAGCGGGAGAGGGCGAGGCAGCGGCGGCGGTAGAGGAGGCGGAGCTGGCGGCGGCGCTCGAGGAGAGCGCGAGGCTGGAGGGAGCGAGGCCGGTGGTGGAGGAGCGGACGCTTGTCGCTGCGACTGAGGGCGGCTCGCCGTCGGCTGCAGAGGCGCCGGCTCCGAAGGAGGAGGAGGAGCCGCCGGCCGACTTCATCTGCCCGATCACGACCGAGATCATGGTCGAGCCAGTCGTGGCGGCCGATGGGCAGTCGTATGAGCGGACGGCGATCGAGCGTTGGCTCGCGACCAAGTCGACGAGCCCGCTGACCGGCGGCGAGCTCGAGCATAGCATCCTGATCCCGAACCACAACTTGCGCCGGACGATTCGAGAGTGGCAGGAGGCGCGGGCGTCACTTTGAGCGGACGCACGGCGTTTTAAAACGGTCGGCCGCGCGTGTTTTCTCTGCGGTGTACGGCTCTAGCCCGTAGCGCCGTAACGGGCCTAAAAGCCGATTGGCAAATGTGAACGAAAAGACCCATACCTACGCTTCTGTGGATGTGGTCGACTCCTTCGCGCGACCGCACATCTCGACGTGCATCGCCCAGAGTAGGCTGTTTAACGTTGGGAGCTGAACACAGTGTTGCTAGTGTTAACAGTATAACAACAGAACAACAGTGGGGCTCCCCAACAACAGTAGCTAACGTTAGGCCGGCTGAACAACAATAAGGAAGGCCTGGCAGTGACCCACGACGATCTCCAGCGTCCAGTGCGGGTAATACCCGAAAATACCCGGGAAATCCCAGGTATTTTCGGGTTTTACCCGGGTTTTTTGCCGTTTTCTGCTTGCTGGCCGCTGAACAACAGAGTATAAAATGAACTCGGGGGCACGGGACGCGGCACAAACGGGGCACAAACGCCAGGCTACAAAGACGGGGAGGCACGTAGTGACGCAGGGGAGTCTAGGCGACGGCGGCGTCCTCCGACGCCGCGGCGAGCCTGAGCTCGGTCGCAATCTCTTCCGCCGCCGCGAGCTGCAGCGCGACTGACATGCGCTGGGCCTGCAGCGACAGCCACGACTGCGTCGACCAGCTCGCCTCGTCCTCGTGCTGCCGCTTCGAGAGCTTGTTGCGCACCTTGTCCTTCATCTGGTAGAACAGCCGTTTGACCGCGTTGCACCACCCGCCGAAGGTTTCGAACAGGTACATCTGCACGTCGGTGTCCGAGCGCGAGAGGGCGTGCGCGTAGTCCGCCTTCTTGTACGCCACATAGCCGCCGCCGTCGCTCGGCCTGAAGTCGCCGTCCCCGACAGCGCCGCGCTGCTCGAGGCCGAAGACGTCCGCGCTCGTGCCGGGCTCGGTGTTGCCGAGGCCGACGAAAGCGCCCCGCTGGCCGACGTCCTCCGGGTTGGAGGAGAGCGAGTCCTTGAACTTGACGTCGCCGACGAGGCGCGAGCGCGAGCGGCCGGCGCCCGCCACCGAGACGTCGGGCCGGTAGTCGTTAGAGTAGCCGAGGTGGTCCCGCGGCTCCACCTCGACGAGCATGCCCCACACGCTCCGCAAT